AGTCTGGCAGCAAAATTTCGTTTTGATCTGTTTGCATCCGTTTGATCCAGTTTTGATCTGATCTTGTTCGTGCAACCCAAGACGCGTGTTGCGGTCAATCAATTGCGGTCAACCGTTCGTGGTCAACCAGATCTACATAAATTTTAAGCCGTAAGTTCTCTACGTCAAACCTTTAGATCCGCTGCGCATAGGTTTACGTTTGCTATTGAATTCGTGATTTGTACATAACGAGATCCTCACAGATCCCAACAAAGCCCCCTTCTCTCTCTTCCTTTCGATATATATACCTGGCCCTCTCCTTACAAGTGGGCTAATTAAATAAGTAAAAAATGGTACATTATTGTAGGGCCCATTTATGGCTTTTGACAATTCCGGTTGACGTTCATCTTTTTGGCTACTGTGGCGTCTTTTCGGAGGCAGCTTCTTTAGGATATCTGTACCGATCGGGCACCTCGAATTCTGTCCGGTTCCGTACCGGGTCTGGTCGGCCTTTGGACGATCAACTTGGAATATTTGTTTGTATATTTATTTTTTACGTACTTTCGGCTCCTTGGTTATCGGGCCGTATTTTATTATTTCGTTTATTATTTAATTAATTGGAGCCATATTAGGTATCAACATTATTCTTGCTTGATGTTGGTTATTCTATACGGACTAGTTGATTAAACACTTTCTAGTCTACTTTAATCGACTCTTAGAACCGAAAGGGGAGGAGTCGGTCGAAATAGGCTCGTATGAGCTAGGCTTGTTCGTAACTGTATTGCCTAGGAGTTAAATGAATTGCTAATTTGTCGTTCTAGTTTGTTCTCTTGTTATGAAAAGTTATTGAGAATGAGTGCTTGAACGTGTCGATTAGTCAAATCACTTAACCGAACAATCTCTTGCTTGACAATTACATTTTCGAACCAAAACGGATATCCCCGACTCCCTAGCTCCTTAAATCCTACTAGTTCTTCGTCGTTGCTTGCTATTTCTTTGGCATAATTTTAATTACTTTAGTAGTCGATAATATAAGCCAAAACCAATCATTTGAATTAGAATGTTTAGGAATGTTATTTCTTTTATTAGCGCTTGAATAAACGTACAGAATATTCCGGCTGACCTTCCTCGTGAGACACGACCCGGTGTTCGAATCTTTCGATTCTACTCCGGAAACTTATTTACAACAAACCCCTAAGGCGAATCTATCTAAATAAACCACAAACTCCCATTAAGATTTTGGATTGCCTGCTATTCCTGCTACTCCATATCGGCATATAGGAAAGGTCAAGAAGCAAATCCCAATGCCCTAATGTTAACTACCTCTCACAACAAAAAGAAAAAAAGAAAAGAAAAAGCAAAAGAGCATTGAGTATGTACTGGCAAAATAGCCCCAGAAAGAAGAAAAGGGAGAAAGACTGAAGGAAGGGGTCAAGTAAACAAGGCTTGAAAGGGAAAGCCGGGCTCGCTTGTGCCGGTTCATAGAAGGTCTACAAGCAGAAAGAGGGGCAAGTGAAAGGACTGCCCGAACTCACTTAACTAAATAGGTACTTAATAAGAATACGCCCCGCAGGAAAAGAAAGCAGTGAAATGGTGGGTGCTTCTTTTGTTTATGTAGGAAGGAAAAAACGTATTCCCTAAAGTATATATAAGTAGGCAACCAACTGAGAAAAAAAGTGAAGCTATAAACTTTGTCCCCCGTTAGTGACTGTGTATTCGACAGTAGACCAATCCGAACTTGGTAGTGACTATACTATTGGAACCTAGTGTACAAGTTTCACCCGTATTCGATGGTTTCAAAACAGCTGTCATTGAACTATATGCTGCAACTATCTTATCGATGAAGGAAGGCCAGCCACGTAATAAGTGTGGCGCATTTGAGTGAGGAGAAAATATTCTCTTTCGCTAACTTCATCCATCAAAAGCTACTTACTAGATCTCCTCCTTCCTAGCCACGTAATCTACAGCTCCTTCCTCCGTAATTCTATGTTGTGCAAGCTGCGCCCTTTCCTCTTGCTTTACACAGTGCACGACAACTAACTACTTACTGCCTGTAAAGCTTATGACATCACAGCCTTTTACACCTCTTCCCTCGCTCGTGGAGCATCCCCATGCATGGGCCAACCTTTCTTTCATTTTTATATACTGATATATATATATATATATATATATATATATATATATATATATATATATATAGGCAAGGGATCATATGAGAATAAGGGCTTGGGTGAGAAATAAGAATGAATAGGAACCGTCGGATCTGTCCAAACAATGGCTGAGATTAAATATCTCACGCACCTAAATCAGATTTCACGTGGTGGCATAAGCGTAATTATAGCTCAACTTTATGGTGATGTTTATGTACCAAAGGGCACCACCATAATTTCACGTAACAGGCTAGGGGTAAACCCTTGTTCTCAAACACATTGATTGCAAAATTGAATCAAGGGCGCATTTACTTCCTTCTTCAAGCTTCTCTTCCGACAATGGAGGTGTGGCGACAATGGAATCAGTTTCACCATTAACGTGAGGTTTTTGAGCCGATTTTCACTCCGATTTCCACCATTGATCCATGTTCAGGTGAGATCTTTCCAGATCCGGCAAGTTTGAGATGTTTTATTATTATTGCATTCGCGGAGATTTTTATTGTTCATTGTTCAATTTTGATGTTAGCATTTTAAGTGAACTGGGGGAAAAAGGAGATCGAATTTAAATTATTTGCTCATTGTTCAATTTTGATGGTTAGACCAATATTTCTGTGGTGTATGCTGAAAGTATTAGTTGAAATCAATCCTGATTTCATTTGAACTAAATCTATGATTGTGGATTATGTACTGTTTATCTCAGATTAAACGGATTTCGACTTCTTTGTTTCTACACTACAGAGATTTGGTGACTTGTTGTTGAATTTGCCATAGCCCATGATCTTCATATAATTACCACTTGTGTTATAATACTTTAAAGAGATTTGGTTGAATATTTTGATAATCCAGATATTGCTATAAGTAGTTGTCTTGTGAATACATTATGTGATCAATCACAATACTTTGTTTATCATTGATCCATTTTCTTATATGCATCAAAACTTTGGTAGGGTATGGAGTTGTATTATTTTAAGGTCAAAGATAAATTTGTGAATAAATATCAGAACTAGCAAGAATATTGTCATTGCCTAACTTCTTCAATAATAAATTGTTGGTTCACCATTAATAAATCCATCATGGGATGCATTATTTTTATGCATTTGCAGAGCTTTAGGATCTTCAAAGCTCAAGCTGTGTGTGTTCATAAATCTTTTCATGATCTGCCTTCTCTGTTCATACTTGTCTTTGGCACTAAAATATTAATACCTACCTGATTATAAGTTTTTTAATCAGAGCTTGAATGTCAGATTTTATTTGACATATTGTATATTACTTACTGTGTAGTTATTTATACTAATATGTGTATCGTCCAGGCATTAACAACAATTCAATGGACCCGACAGTTCAAAATTGGGCAATAAAGGTCAATATGTTAATTTTCTAAGAAGGTTGTGATAGTTTTTATATGTTATCTATACGTGCCTTACGTTTATATGATGATATAGGTGCACATTCAGTCGTCGAAGGTGGATCGATTGGACCTCCATCAGCTTCGATAGGTATATTGTTGTAGTATGGTCCATGAGTGGCATAGTCACTTTTTGTGGTGTTTGTAACCTTTTTCAATCATCTCAGTTACGCGTCGTCGTGCGAGTTTAAATTTATCTCAACAAGAAACTGTACCACAAGACGCCGACCATGCCCAGGGAGGTACACATATGTTTATTATATATTTTGATATATTATGATTATTAATTATTCTAGTCATTTCACTTTGTGTTCGTTTAGTTGCAACCACCAAACAGAAAACTGATGCACCGAAACAGCCTGATAAACATGGAAAACGTGCAAACATGATTGGTCAAACAACGATAATTTTGTTGATGACGTACCTCGACTGAATCGTGATTTGAATGTGGTGGCACAAGATGGTATATTACCTTTCAATTATTCATATCCTATCTTAATATACACGAGAATTGAAAGTTTAAAAGATTTAAATTTCTGTTACCAACAACCATTCTTATTATGTCCATACCATGTTTGATAAATTGCAGCAAGCAAGCGTAAGAGTGGTGCAGCAATTCGGGCAGATGGACGTGGGAAACGTGCAAAAATAATCGGACCGCCTGAAAGTGAGGATGCCCATGAAACCCAAACAAAACGTTGTCAAACAACGGCAATGAGAGATGGTACAAAGTTCTACATCTTACGATCACCATAATTGTTTACGTTACACAATACTAGATTGTATATAAGTTTATATAACTTTTAGGTAATGCAAGAGGGCAGCGGATCATTAACGAAAAAAGCTGGTACGCATGCATTAGAAGATATCGGGGCAAAAACCGATGATGCATTCCCGACCATCCACACAAGAACGTCACCAGCCATATTTGTGAAGGCGGTGTCCAGTTTGTCCGAAGACCAGAAACGTGCAGTTCACGAGATGGGATTTGGATGCTTGCTCGATTTGACGATAACAGCAACCCCAGCCAAAATGGGATACTGGCTGGTCAATAATTTCAACCATATGGACCGAAAGCTGCAATTGTATGACGGGGGAAAGGTCCATGTGAAGGAGAATGATGTGTACAGTGTGTTGGGGCTGCCCCGTGGATCTATCGAGATTGCGAACAGGAAGAAAAATACGGAGTCGGGAGTGTTAAATGAACGGGCTAACATGTATGGTGTCAGTGTTGCGATCAAAATCACAGCTACCAAGGTGTTGGAGATGATTCAAGATTGTGAGAGAAGCGACGATTGGTTCAAGCGTCACTTTGTTGTTCTTATGGTTACGTGTCTCTTCGAGAGTTCCCAGAATGGCGTGGCAAACTTGCGCACAGTTCACTTGCTCGATGATTTGTCGAACGTGAGCAAGATGAATTGGTGTGCATACTTGATTTGATGTCTGGTGGGTGCTGAAAAGGCGTGGAATGCCAATCAAAAACGCAAAAATTTCACCGGTCCGCTTTTATTTCTGACGGTTAGTGCATTTGATCCTTGGTGATGTTTACTTTATGTAATTTATTAAATTTATTCCAATGAACCACAATGACTGATGTATTGATTTGTCACTCTTTATTTATTTAATTTTTTATATGTATTTATTGTTTTACTTTGTTTGTGCAGCTGTTTTATGTCGACAAGGTGGTGCTGTCATATAGAACCGTAACGAGATCACTACCGGTTTTGAAATCATGGAACAACTTTATGCTGAAAGCGAGAGAGGGGGATGAGATAGTGGCTGGTGCGTTTGGGAGAGGATATGTGGATGACGATGTACATGTGGATGATGCTCGTCACCGTGCCAAAATAGACATTGGCAGTCCCAATGGCAACGACATGAACCGTGCATCAAAACTCAGTGTCCAGGTAAATATACATATTAGTCTGTTTTACTATATGACTTTTTTTTTATTATTGTTATTATTATTATTATTATTATTATTATTATTATTATTATTATTATTATTATTATTATTATTTTATTATTATTTTTTTTTTTTGGCATGTTATGCTTATGATATTATATTTGTTGCAACCATTAGCATTCAATGGTGCAATAAGTGTAGTAGTTATGTGCAATCGGGCTCTTTATATATACAATGTGATATGTGTTTGTGAAACGTGTATTTGGTGCAACAGTCGCAGAACATTTGTGCAATATGTGTAGCCATTTGGTGCATCCTGTTACTGTTGGATCCATATCTTGTTATATGACTTATTTTTTCATCCTATGAGTGACATTCTTGTATTTTTACACATTTAACTGATTTGTTTTACCCTTTTATTTTTTTTTTCAGACGTTTATGCAGGAATTCGCATCAAAGACACGTGTTCTTGCCATGGCCGGCATTGAAATTATACAATTGGTTGAGAATGCACCGCGAGACCTGTTGGGTGACGATAATTTCACGAAAATGCAAGGAGCGGTACAGAAGTTGCTTGGGATTTGCAATGAAGATTCTAAAGGGAAGGGCAAACAACATATGCCTGATGAACCTAGCCAGCATGCGACTCGTGATGATGGATCACCCTTTAAGGCCCCAACTCAGATTGTTGATGACGATTTCTGGAATGATCCCGATAACATAGCTGCTATAGATGCGATCGTTGATGCTGTTGCACGTCGTGACCATTTCAAACGGATGCACTACGACGGCCCCAGCTACAACTTGGGATTGGGTCTTTCGTCGGATGAAGAGGAAGACGACATGGACATAGATCACCGTCAACTACTCCTCCACACATGAGTGCTGGACATCACATAGACGAAGTCGCGGTCGGAGAGCCTTCCACTGTACCTGTGCCATCAGGTATTTTATTTGAGTTTATCATTTCACGTTTATAACTAAATATCTGATTGTTGTTGTATATACGTGTTTAATGACTTATATTTTGTATTTTGTGTTTTTTTTTTGTCAAGCTGATTGTGATGCGGTGGTTAATGAACCGGTCGTTGATACGGGTCGTGATCGTGTGCAAGGTATGTACCGTATATATTGTATATATATGGGTCTTTATTATACTGTTCGTTGTGATTGTTATTAAATTTTATTTTTTACGTGTTGGATAGGTGTCGGTGGTGATACGATTGTTGATGTTGTTGACGTTGGATGACCAAAAAGGAGTCCAAAGTTATCCAGCTTCCTTAAATCCCCTTTCAAACTGTGGTGTATTGATGTGGTTAAGAAACTCGACAGACAGGAAAATATGGTCGTTAATTGGGTTCTGCATAAAGCTTAGGAGTAAGATATATGTTGCGCCATAGTGTTATCTTTTTCTTTAATCAACTTTGTTGTCCAGTGTAATTATATATTATGGTCTTACTGTGTGCTGATAATATTTATTTTATGCACAGTGATGTGATTATATATCAGTCTGTGTCCGGTGAGTATATTGTGAAGAGGGATGTGGTGGCATGCTTGGCATCGAATATGCCAATCAACGAGGCACATATTGATCTGTGGGCTCGTATAATGAACTGCAATGAGAAGATCGGGAGTCATGGTTCAGTACTGTGTTTCTTCGCAACCACGCATCCGTGTAATGAGGTACATCGTCATATATTTTGGTTTATTAGAAGCATACTTATGATTTTTTTTCAGTAATGCTTACTATAAAAGTTTGTGAATCACAGCTTTTTTTCAAGGGAAAGAGAAAGAAGAACGTAAGTTACAAGAACTTTGTGGAGATGCTAGATGGAGATATGAATCGAACGTGTGTCTACAACCGGAAGAAAGTTTCAATGGTATCCCAATTTATTGCATTTCGATTATTGATCATGATGTGCAACATTACATTATATACATATATATATATGTATATATATATATATATATTTGTTTGAATTATAGTACGTGTTCCCCGTACACTCTGGTGGCTTTAGTGGGTTGATTTGCATTTTGCCGGACAACTGGAAGATACATATCCTAGATAATGCTTGCTTATGTAAAGACGCCTCCATCAAGAAATCCTTCGCGTCGCTTGCTAGGATTTTGGTAACAACTATATCCACTTGTAGAAAGTTAACTTTTTTTTTTTTATTGGATATATATATATTATTGCTTTTTTTTTTTCTTGTTTTCATTTTGTTTTACATGTTAGCGTGTATACTTGTTGCAGCAACAATCACTTGCGAAGTACATGGCACAGATGAGTATGTCGAAATCGTCAAAGTCGGTCGCGCTCTCGATTCTGGACTTCATTGATTTGCCGTGGACTGATGGTGTCGACGACGTAGATGCCGGCGTCCTAACAATGCGTCACATGGAGACATTCAAAGGACGTGTTACGGAAGGCTGGAACCCGGGTGTGAAGAAGGCTGACAAGAGGCAGATCGACCTCATGAGGAAGCGCTACTGCTACGTCATTGCGTTTGCTCCATACAACAAGGTGAAAGACGCTAACCTCCTTGAATCAAAGAGGTCTGCAAGGAAGAAAGGCGGTGTTGTGTGATGTGTCGCATGGGTCGTTTGTTGTTGGACCCGTTAGACGTATTGTTGCCATGTTTTGGTTTATTACATATGCGTGTAGGACCTAATGTTTGGTACGCCCGTCGCTAGATGCTTATTTCTAGCACTATGGTTTTGAATGACTATTCTAGTAGTTTGTTATGATTTGATTTCGTCGTTTTTGGTATGTTAACGCGACAATATATATTGTTTCTTTTGTTTTATGGTGGCTGAACGATGCGATGTGACTGTATATAAAGTGCAACGACATATTGTATATTGTGCAATGTGACTGTATATAAAGTGCATTAGCGTGGCATATACAGGAGAAATGCTTAAGTGCGACATTACAGTATGTAAAGTGCAACGGCATATTCTATATCGCGCAATGCGATTATATAGAAAGTGCAGTGATGTAGTATATACATAAGAAATGCTTGCATTGCCAGACGTTTGGTTGTTGCGATGTCGATTTGCTGCAATCTTAAATACGTATGTGTATTAGGCCGTTATAGCAAATTATTTAGTAATTGTGTAAATACACGAGTTCATACACTATACTCTTCTTTAAGATTCACATGGTATCAACAATTGAAAAAGTGCAACGCGATGTCCATGGAAGTGCAACGCAATGTTTAGAAAAGTGCAACGCATAATCCAAAAACGTGTGATGTACACATTGTGTTCGCAGTTAATGTGCGCACCCAAAATACCACATAAATATCCCACTGGCATACATATTAATTATCAGCCAATACCACTGAAAAAAAAAAAGAAATGACGAGAGTAGCATTAAAATGACCGACGCAAAATTCACGACAATGATCAAGTGCTACATAGAGCAATATTCGCTAAACAAACAACCATACGTCTTTACCTTTTCCAAATAAAGAATAAAATAAAAATCCAAATAAAAAATAACATTAAACCAAATGTCCAATCGTAGTATTTTGATCTGATGACTTCCATCAACTGCTTATTGCATCACCTGTCGCTTGTGTCTGCATGTATTATTATTATTATTATTATTTTATATATATATATATATATATATATATATATATATATACATGTTAATATTCATACATCACATCTAATACACATTACACTATTGTACGAATACACACACATTGTTAATAAATACATACGAATATTGAGAAACGATATAGGATGTTGACATATGTATAGAGATGCACGTTGTAGAGAAATATATATGTTAGAGTATCAGACAACTATTTGTGCATTTACCTCGACGGCATTTGATGTGTACGCCTGCTGCTTCTTGGGACACGTACGTGCGTTGTGGCCTGCTATTTCACCACACGACTTGCATGTCCTTCGTTTCTTTTGCGACCCTTCAATTGCCTTTTCCTTCGCACTTTTCAGTCTCTTCCCACTGCCTTTGTTCTTGGATTGTGTCGGAGGGTGAATGTTCACCTCTCGAGTAGCAGCCATGCCGACAAACGATTCAAATTGGTGTTCTTTACCAATGGTCGTTGTATCCCCTGATTGCAAATAGCATACACGATTTTTTATAAAGTTCAACAACGTGTTTTATATTGTGCAATGTGGCGATATGTAAATTTCAATAATATAGTGTATACATTGTACATACTTAGGAACACTTTACCAGTGATTGTCTCATCCTCTGTTTGAGCAGACATGAGCTTAGACTTGTATGCTTCGACGATTTAGGAAAATTCGATAAGGCGATCGACACAAGGCTCAGCTAATCCAATGCATATATGTATATCTGACCACAATTTGTTCAACAAGTGTTTTGTATCATCGGCCCGAGCACATTGTGCAGCAACATTGCCAAGAACATGAAACATGGGATTACTAATCGCCTGCTTCATCCATCTCGATATGATATGTGCCGACGGAATTAGATTGAAGTTAAGGTCTTTGATCACAAAAAACACGTGTCTACACAACCACCCGTACAACTCGAAGTGCTTGCACGAGCATGCAGACGTAGTCAGGACGACATCATGAATAACAGTGAAGGTCTTACAATTTGGGTCTTTGAGTTTGAATTCCATAATTCCTTCACTTTCGGAGACACTCGTTACAGGACAATTGAAACATGTTGCACATATCTCACCCTATACACGATAGAATGAGAATGTCGTGTAAACAGACCTCGCATGCCTCTCAATCGGCAAAAGTGTCTTCAAGTCAGCCATTTGCAACTCACTGTCGTTTTGTAGTTTGACTGACACGTTTCGTTGCGCGTCCATCGCACTGTCGAAATGTAGTAAGAACTCGACTAAGCTGGAATGGCTACTCGTGAAATGACCGAACCAATTGTTCTCGCTCTCGGACCTGGAAGTTGTCCTCATCAAACCACTCATTTTGACATCCCTGAAAAATGCTGGAATCTAAAATTTCCTTTTTGCAAATAGATCAGTGAACCAATTGTGTGTTTCCAGCATATAATCTCTCATTATTGCCGCCTATTTAGCTTCAAATTCATTAGGCTCTATAGTTCGATCCCACACAATTCCATTAAGCCTTCGTTTGAATTCCACATCATTATTTAAAGAAGGACCAACCTTGTCGCATAATTTTGTCATTATATGCCACATGCAAAATTGGTGTTTGCAAGTTTCGAATACCTTAGGAAATGCAATGCCGATGGACAGGTCTTGGTCTGTGACAATGTACTTGGGCTCATGGATCATGGCATCTTTGAAATTCTTCAATACCCAAACATAAGAGTCGACGTCCTCTTTCGATATCAAGGCAGCTGCAAATGTCACACACTTGCCGTGGTTATCTATGCCGGTAAAAGGTGCGAATACCATGTTGTACCTACACGTTGATATTGTGCAACCAAAGAATGTATAACTATGCAATTATTGTTGACATTTGCAAATATTATTTACTTGACAACATATATTGGAAAATATACGTGAAATTTGTGCTAACCTGTTGGTGCGGTACGTCACATCAAACGATACAACATCACCAAACGCACCATAGTTCCTCCTCGAAATTGGATCAGCCCAAAAAAGCCGTTTCAAACAGTCGTTTTCATCAAGCTCGTATTGGAAGTAGAAGGCTGAGCTTGCTTCCCGACGCTTATGGAATTTCTCGATAATCAACTGTGCATCAGCTCCTAAGATGTACGCAAGGAGTTCCCGCTTAAAGTTCTTGAAATCCACGCTGGTGGCTCCAATGTTCGAGTACCCTCCAACCATCTCTTTATACAATCGGTACGACTTGACCGGCCCTATATTGGCCTTTATGCAATTCATTACGAACGACCGATGTCCTGCATTCATCGACCTACTGATCTTCATTTGTGACTTGCAAGCATCAGATATGCTATGTTTTTGTTCAAAGATTTTAACGATGTATCCATTCAATCCATCATATCGCACTCCAATCTTGGCAGTACAACCTACCAGCTGGACACTCTACGTCTTGTCACGTGTCCTTTAGCATGTGTCGTAGGACTGATGACTGCACGTTGCTTGTAACCCTCTCGCGAGCACACGAGGTATTTCTAAATAACCGTCTTGTCACGTGCTTTCGCCAACGTGCTATGCCTCACGTCAAATCCAACGGTAAGAGCATAAGTCTTGTAAAAGTTCACCGCTTCATGTAATTTTTGGAAATTTTGTCCTTGATACGGTTTAATCGATTCGTCACATTGTGGTATCCAATGTTTTGTTCCACCCGGTGTTACTAAAAGTTGTTGTGTAACCGGCGGTTGCATTCCTTAAGTGCCATTGGAAGGAAAAAAAAAATAGAAAAATAAAACATATCAGTAGTAATAACTAAACCACTGATTGCACCGATGTGAACAGACAGTTACACGCAATAGAATCGACTGTTTCACTTTATCACAGTATAGATAAAATTGTCCTCAGTACCTGGTTGAGAGTCATTTAATTTGTTTATGCGACCCAACCAAGAAAACGTATGAAGTCCCTAAAATCACATGAAGAAACAAAGTATATCAAATCAAGTATCAGATCAACTTTCCTAAAATTACATATTTTGACATGTAGATAATTAAACCAACAATTCTCAATTTCGTACAACAATTGACCAAAATCAAAAGTTCAATTCGAAAATATACCTGACAGCGTCAAGTATGTGATATGGATGTTCAATCGGAAGTTTCGGGCTCCCGAATCGAGATTGTTATAGAAATCTCATGGAATATTGAAAAACCGAGCTCGACATGATGAAAAATCGGTCGCGAAATATACACAGCTGCGGGATTGAGAAGATTTAGGTGAGGGTATGAAGGAGCTGGGGGATTTTTAGGGGAGCTTGTGCGAGTATGAAGGAGCTGCGAGATTTGGGGAGTTTATCTGCGGTATGTAGGTCTTCAATGAGACATTAAATTGCGGTAATTACGTTATTACCCTCCAATTGATGGGGTAATTGAATCCCAGCGGATATCTTATGTCCGTCTGATTTCAATGATCTAGTGTACCAAATTTATTCCTATTTCTTGCATTAAGGGTCATTCTCACCGGAGTGTTACCCTATATATATATATATATAAAGGGGTGAGATTTTATACTCGAGATCCGGAGACCGAATCGGACTGAACCGAAAATAATCGGTTCGGTCCGGTTATTAAAAATAAATTGTTTTTCGGTTCCGTTTATTTTTTACATAAACCGGTTCCGGTTCTCGGTTCCTATATACTAGTATTTGATCCTGTGCATTTGCAAAGATAAAAAACACATTTTTGTTTGTATTTATCAATTAGACATGTACTTCTATCAAAATTATTACTTTTTCTTAAGTTATTTTTATCATTGAAAATTAATTTAGATTTAAATCTTATTTTGACCATGCAACGTTTACATTAGTACCATGAATAAAATTATTTATATATTTGTGGCATATATTAAGAAAATTAACATAAATAAAAAAAATTATTGGTGTCTTGATTTTTAGAGAAAAAAAATGTGTCAATTATATTTTTCTTCCAACAATGCAACCAAATATAGCGGTTACAACTCTGAATGTGAC